TCCTCCAGTAATTATCTCCACTGTTGCTTGGCTCCGTCTTGAGCCAGTAAGACAACATTACAATACAATGCCAATAGATCAATACATTCTCCTGCAAATGTTAAGGCTCCACATCCATTATGTCATCATAACTTGTATTTTTTCTAACTTCATATAATCATTGGTAACCTTGGATTGTCAATGAGCAATCTGAGAGCAGCAGTACACCGAGAACTTCAACAAAATCTTGTAGATCTGAGGCAAAGTGAAATTGACACCAGTAATTCCATCTATCATCATACTATCATGCAAGAGGAGCCACACATCAATGGATCATCCAATAAAATCAGCAGACTTCTAGATGTTACTACTGCTCGGCTTAGACTCGGTTACAAGTATCTCTGGGAATTCTCATTATCTGCTGATGTAGACCTGACCAAATGTAAACTGTGTCAACAAAATTATTCGCACACCCTCCGTCACTATGTGATGGAGTGCGAAAAGATACGTGAATTTAGAGACAATTCTATAACCAATGTTCCAGCGATGTGTAAATATTTCATTCAAAATGATCTGCTACTAGAAATTTTAGCCAAATATCCCCAGTTTGCTAACTGTAGGTAGTAAATGAGTGATTGTAACCTATCCACCGCTGCCCACTGGATGGGGGGCGGTGTGCAGGACAAACATATCAATTGTGACACTAGCTCTCCACATATGTCAGTTGCTTAATTTAGAACCTGTAATTGAGGTCGATCTCGAACCCATTGTTGATGTGACGACTTATATTGAATTTTGTAACTAGCTCATGAAGATTATAACTTGCTTAGCTAAATGAATTGTGGGGTTCAGTCCCTGAGCCCATTATGTGCCTCTGTAACCCTTTCCACTACCGTCCACAAGATGGGTATGGGGTGCATAATAAATGAACTAAACTAACTCATATAATCACTATAATAAGTATAACTGATATATTACAAAATTTAAAACCAAAAATACTTTAGGAAATAACCACAAAAAGGAATATAATTTTGTGAATATTTTTTCGTCCAAAGTCACAGGAAAACACGAAGGTTATGTTAAGATATATAAATTATATAGAAAAAAAAATATGTTGTAGAGAAAAAATGAAGAATATATGCAAGGAAACACTGTAGGTGTAATACTGTGAGTGTTGCAACACATGTGGCCTTGTGTTGCGCCACTAGCAGCCACAACCCGCCCCAGCCCACCCCCAGGAGGTGACAACGTAAGAAATACAACTGTTTTTGCTGAACCACAAGGGTTCGAACCTAGCACCCTAGCTAATCTATCGAGGCTTTTTACTCGAAAAACGTCAATATTGCGGTGCTTTAGTTTTGAGTAGAACCCCTGAATTATTGACGGATTGGTAGCCTGGTGTCCCGGACAGATAGCCTGGTGTCCGGGACAGGTAGCCTGGTGTCCGGGACAGATAGCCTGGTGTCCGGGACAGATAGCCTGGTGTCCAGGACAGATAGCCTGGTGTCCGGGACAGATAGCCTGGTGTCCGGGACAGATAGCCTGGTGTCCGGGACAGATAGCCTGGTGTCCGGGACAGATAGCCTGGTGTCCGGGACAGATAGCCTGGTGTCCGGGACAGGTAGCCTGGTGTCCGGGACAGGTAGCCTGGTGTCCGGGACAGGTAGCCTGGTGTCCGGGACAGGTAGCCTGGTGTCCGGGACAGATAGCCTGGTGTCCGGGACAGATAGCCTGGTGTCCGGGACAGGTAGCCTGGTGTCCGGGACAGATAGCCTGGTGTCCGGGACAGATAGCCTGGTGTCCGGGACAGATAGCCTGTTGTCCGGGACAGATAGCCTGGTGTCCGGGACAGGTAGCCTGGTGTCCGGGACAGATAGCCTGGTGTCCGGGACAGGTAGCCTGGTGTCCGGGACAGGTAGCCTGGTGTCCGGGACAGATAGCCTGGTGTCCGGGACAGATAGCCTGGTGTCCGGGACAGATAGCCTGGTGTCCGGGACAGGTAGCCTGGTGTCCGGGACAGATAGCCTGGTGTCCGGGACAGATAGCCTGGCTAGACTCATCCAAGTCCCCGAAGGCCATCTAAAGACCTCTCTCAGGATTTAAACCAAAACACTAACCTATTTTCCAGGTGCTTATTTACTGCTAGGTGAATAGAGACATCAGGTGCAAAGAAACCTTCTAAAACATCTACGTATGTCTGGTGTTGGAATTGATCCGGGGGACCTTCCGATAGTGAACTAACCTAAAGGGGGAAGAAGACGGGCTCACCATAGCCCGTGCTACTTGGAAAACTTCTTGTTCTAGGTAGCGAATCTTTAACAACAACAGCAGTGAACTAACTGAATACTGTCTGACTAGCCAACGAGGTGGGTGTGGTGGTGTGGAGTGGTGGTGGGAGTGACATGTTACTCATTCAGAGGTCAGAGGCAAGGAAACTCACGGCTCAAATTGATGTATGAACACTGACAACTGTGTCCTGAGAGACCTCTGGCGGTCGCAGGCGCCACCACACGTTAGCGGACTTACTCCACAGTTGCCCGCCTGGCTATGCGGCCAAAGGTGGTGTACGTTCGCGCGCACAACACGAAATTGATGATTTTGTCGTACCTAAACAGCCAGAAATGCGCTACTTGGTCTAGTATGCAAGATAAGGTTTGCCTAACAGGCAGAGCGATTTTTGTTATTTTCAGATATTTCTTTCCACGTTAGTTCTTTCTTAACAGTATTAATATATTATATTAGGAACATAAATTACTGACTTAATTATGCCAGGTTTGTCTAGGTTAAGTTAGGTTAGGTTAGGTTACTGTAGTTAGGTTAGTTTTGATCACATTCCTATGTAACTTTTGGCTCGAATTAAACAAAAATAAAATTATACATAATGTAATGGAAAACTTTATCATTCCTTAAGATATGTTAGTGAAAAAATAACATTTCAGGAGAATTCGGCTTGTTAGGCAATTTGGCGTATTAGGTACTACAAGTGTACTGAGGAGCGATGTCCGAGATGTAATGATTAATGTTGAAGGAGGATGTTTAGGTGTGAGGTTGGAACCAGGGCGGGAAGGTGGCAGGGACACGGCAGTAGAGGTTGTTGAGTGAATGAGAAAATGTTGCTGTTGGTTGAATAATATATTCACCAGGTGGGTAAAGGGAAGGAGAGCATGAGTAAGAGGATGAGTTATGTTAATGGTTTGGTTGACCTCCGAGAGAATCCTGCTGGCAGATATGAGTGCCTCATTCCTTCCCTTTTCTTGGTGCTTCCTTCTCTTTATTTCTGTGGCCTCAGCTCTCTTTTTCCTTGTTCTTATCCCCCTCTGAAGAAATACTTCTTTGTAGACTTGTAAATATTAAATTCTGGTTTTCTCCCGTAGTATTATCTCTGACTGTATCTGGGTCTCGTCTCATAATGTTCTCAAATATGAGTTTATAGGGAGCCGGTCGGCCGAGCGGACAGCACACTGGGCTTGTGATCCTGTGGTCCCGGGTTCGAGCCCGGGCGCCGGCGAGAAACAATGGGCAGAGTTTCTTTCACCCTATGCCCCTGTTACCTAGCAGTAAAATAGGTACCTGGGTGTTAGTCAGCAATCACGGGCTGCTTCCTGGGGGTGGAGGCCTGGTCGAGGACTGGGCCGCGGGGACACTAAAACCCCGAAATCTTCTCAAGATAACCTCTCAAGAAGCTTCCCTAAAGTAGGTCCTTATAGTTGCACTAACTATCCACAAGGTTGTGCTCGCTACACTGGCCTCGCGTGTCCGCTTTCAGCCGTGGCAGAGTCTTTCTTTAAGGACATTTATTTCCCCCATTGGCTGAGCTCAGCTCCGCCTTGGTTATTGTTGCTTTCATGTTGGTCACGTCCGCTTTCATCTCATTCATGAGTGTCACAGACTACACTATGATTCACTCTAGTTCTTGCGAGCTCTCAGAGTTCTCTCTCATGGTTACTCTCTCGCCACTCCTGGCATCCTGGCATCGTCTCTCACGCCTACCCACCTCCTGTGCCCACCTCCTGTGCCCTCCTCCTGTGCCCACCTCCTGTGCCCACCTCCTGTGCCCTCCTCCTGTGCCCACCTCCTGTGCCCTCCTCCTGTGCCCTCCTCCTGTGCCCACCTCCTGTGCCCACCTCCTGTGCCCACCTCCTGTGCCCACCTCCTGTGCCCACCTCCTGTGCCCTCCTCCTGTGCCCACCTCCTGTGCCCTCCTCCTGTGCCCTCCTCCTGTGCCTACCTCCTGTGCCCACCTCCTGTGCCCACCTCCTGTGCCCTCCTCCTGTGCCCACCTACATCCTGGCGCACCCTCGTCTCCTTGATCCTTCCAGGAAGAGAGCAGAGAGCGTAGGGAGAGAGTTCAGCAGTTGAGAATGGAGAAGGTCAATCTTGCGAGAAAGAGAGCAGGACTGGGCGTGAAGAAAGAAGAAATTGAGGTAGGGGAGACGGGACGGAGAGAGCGAGAGCGAGAGAGAGAGAGAGAGAGAGAGAGAGAGAGATAAGAGAGAGAGAGAGAGAGAGAGAGAGAGAGAGAGAGAGAGAGAGAGAGAGAGAGAGAGAGAGAGGAGAGAGAGAGAGAGAGAGAGAGAGAGAGAGAGAGAGAGAGAGAGAGAGAGAGAGAGAGAGAGAGCGCAGGGAGGGAGAGGCAAGAGAGGGTGAGGCTAGTGAGAAGGGGATAACGTAGTGACTCACACAAGTACCACAGAAGAGAGAGGGGGAGAGAGGGGGGTAAACGTGGGTTACCAGCTGACAGGTCACCCCATCACCACGTGTATAATGCATAGTTCTTCATAAATGTACCCACCCAATCTTCACACTATCTCTCCACCGCTAGCCACCCCTTACCCCTCAGCTCCCCTCTCTGCCCCCCCCCCCAGCTCCCCCTCTGGGCCCCCCCCCTCAGCTCCCCCTCTGGGTCCCCCCAGCTTCCCCTCTGCCCTCCCCCCCCAGCTCCTCCTCACGTTATCCCTTAAGTAACTAAGCTGAACACGAGAGGAGGAAGGCAAATACAACACTAAGATCTGTGAAGAGCTGATGGTAATGTCCCAGTTCTGGCAGGTGTTGACGGCTCAGCTCCGCCCTCAACACGTGCTAGAACACAATACAAACAACTAAGAAATGTTTGTATTCTGCAGAGCGCTGTCTCAACGCAAGGTGCACCACTGAGCCCGCCGGCTGAACAGCGCGTGGAACGCTGTGTGCTGGACCAAGGATAGCTACTGAACTGCGTCCCCTGTGAGGGCCACCGTGTCCAGATCAACCCAACTGCGTCCCCCGTGAGCGCCACCGTGTCCAGATCAACCCAACTGCGTCCCCCGTGAGCGCCACCGTGTCCAGATCAACCCAACTGCGTCCCCCTGTGAGCGCCACCGTGTCCAGATCAACCCAACTGCGTCCCCTGTGAGGGCCACCGTGTCCAGATCAACCCAACTGCGTCCCCTGTGAGCGCCACCGTGTCCAGATCAACCCAACTGCGTCCCCTGTGAGCGCCACCGTGTCCAGATCAACCCAACTGCGTCCCCTGTGAGCGCCAACGTGTCCAGATCAACCCAACTGCGTCCCCTGTGAGCGCCAACGTGTCCAGATCAACCCAACTGCGTCCCCTGTGAGCGCCACCGTGTCCAGATCAACCCAACTGCGTCCCCTGTGAGCGCCACCGTGTCCAGATCAACCCAACTGCGTCCCCTGTGAGCGCCAACGTGTCCAGATCAACCCAACTGCGTCCCCTGTGAGCGCCAACGTGTCCAGATCAACCCAACTGCGTCCCCTGTGAGCGCCACCGTGTCCAGATCAACCCAACTGCGTCCCCTGTGAGCGCCACCGTGTCCAGATCAACCCAACTGCGTCCCCCGTGAGCGCCACCGTGTCCAGATCAACCCAACTGCGTCCCCTGTGAGCGCCACCGTGTCCAGATCAACCCAACTGCGTCCCCCTGTGAGCGCCACCGTGTCCAGATCAACCCAACTGCGTCCCCCGTGAGCGCCACCGTGTCCAGATCATGGCTGTGTGGAGTATCCAGGCTTCCGGTTTGCGCCTCCAATCCGCTACTAAATACTCTCATTCTCTCTGTCCTCAACATGTGGTCTTTGTCAGCAGTGAGCCGCTGCTGCCACCACACTCGAGGCTCTCAGAGAGGCTCTCTTGTTTGGGGCAATACTTCCCTCTCTGTTCAAGCCGTCACTCACGAATTTTTGTTCATCATTATAATTTATGTTGCTATCATTTTCTCTCATTTATCATTCTTTTTTTGGCAGTCATTATCGCTCTGGTTATCATTCTACTTCTCGTTATTATTGGTCGTCATGTCAGTGGATTTAAATATTGTTATTACGTCCCATATTGTGATCATTTAATAATCCTTATCACTATAATGTGGTATAATGGTTCTTATTGTCGATATTATCATTCACTGTTTTATTAATATGTTTGTTGACATAATTATTATGAATGGTGGAAGACGGGAGAAGACAGGGGATGATTCAGGGGAGGGGGAACAGGCAAAACGTAGGAGAAGGGGGCAATACGTGGGAGAGGGGGCAATCGTGGGAGGGGCCAGTGCAAGGAAGGAGAGCGTAAAACCACACTTGTATTAGCGACAGAGACTGGGGTAAAAACCTGGAGTCCTTAGCGTGTCCGCTGCTCATCCGTACACTCTTGCCAGCAAAGACTGGCTCCAGTGTGTTGCACCAGCCGTGTTATGAGACATTCTGGAGAGAGAGAGAGAGAGAGAGAGAGAGAGAGAGAGAGAGAGAGAGAGAGAGAGAGAGAGAGAGAGAGAGAGAGAGAGAGAGAGAGAGAGAGAGAGAGAGAGAGAGAGATACAGAGGCAGAGACATACAGAGAAAGGAGGAGTGTGAGAGTCGTTGATGTCTTATGTTTTCTGTTCTGCCGGTAAATAGATTTATTTCGTAGTAAGAATTTCTTACCGAGTCCTGTGTAATGTTTGCTCCAGTCTGTAGGCCTCTGGCAAGATCAGTGTTTATGGTGGTGGACTAGAACAACATTTTTGTCCCAAACTACGAAGCAATAAGGGAGAGAAGCGGACGCCCTATATGTCCCCCTCTGTTATCACAGAGCATTTATGCACCCAAACGTCCACACAACTCTTGCAATTATTGAGACTACCAGTGGTGGGGAATCTTCCCTACTCTCGGTGAATGAGACTACCAGTGGTGGGGAATCTTCCCCACCCTCAGTGAATGAGACTACCAGTGGTGGTGAATCTTCCCCACTCTCGGTGAATGAGACTACCAGTGGTGGGGAATCTTCCCCACTCTCGGTGAATGAGACTACCAGTGGTGGGGAATCTTCCCCACCCTCGGTGAATGAGACTACCAGTGGTGGGGAATCTTCCCCACCCTCGGTGAATGAGACTACCAGTGGTGGGGAATCTTCCCCACCCTCGGTGAATGAGACTACCAGTGGTGGGGAATCTTCCCCACTCTCCGTGAATGAGACTACCAGTGGTGGTGAATCTTCCCCACCCTCGGTGAATGAGACTACCAGTGGTGGGGAATCTTCCCACCCTCGGTGAATGAGACTACCAGTGGTGGGGAATCTTCCCCACTCTCGGTGAATGAGACTACCAGTGGTGGGGAATCTTCCCACCCTCGGTGCATGAAGTACCACAGAGAACAATGCTGCCGCAGTGTGAAGCAACTAACCGCCACATACAACCAGGGGCCAGATTCACGAAGCAGTTACGCAAGCACTTACGAACCTGTCCATCTTTTCTCAATCTTTGGCAGCTTTGTTTACAATTATTAAACAGTTAATGAGCTCCTAAGCACCAGGAGGCTGTTTATAACAATAACAACAGTTGATTGGAAAGTTTTCATGCTTGTAAACTGTTTAATAAATGTAAATAAAGCCGTCAAAGATTGAAAAAAGATGTACACGTTCGTAAGTACTTGTGTAACTGCTTCGTGAATCTGGCCCCAGATGGTCAAACTAGTCCGTCCTCCATAAATGACGTATATACTTATAAAAATATATATAATTATTTAGTTGTCCATTTGGTCGTATATATAAAAAATGGTGGATTGTAGTCAAAGAAAAATTATTATTATTGTGTATTAAGTAAATATATAGTCAAATTGGACGCAGTTATAGGTCAGAGGTTTTACCCATTACCCTTATTACCCATTAATGGGTAGTGATTTACCCATTACCCTCACTTCCCTCTGGTGACTTGAGTCACCGTTTCATAGTCTCAAAATGGCGACCAAAATATTCCGAGAATGAGAAAGAATTTTGGGTTGTTTACTAACATGTTATTTTAGTGTTCAGAGCGGACCAACCGGGCTGTGGTGGGTATGTGGGCCTGCGGGCCGCTCCAAGCAACAGCCTGGTGGACCAAACTCTCACAAGTCGAGCCTGGCCTCGGGCCGGGCTTGGGGGAGTGCAAGAACTCCCAGAACCCCATCAACCAGGCATCAAGCACTACTGAGCAGTGAAAGTGTAGTGACAATCCTAGGAAATATGCACATGTTAATTTTACATTCTACACGTTAATATTTTGAAAAAAAAATATATTTTTGACATTAGTCTCAGTTGTTCAGCATCAGTTCGCCGGATCATGCACACCTGCCAGAGCAGTAGTGCCCACATTGTTTGACATAAATATGACATGTTGTCCTCCTGACACTGTCCACCCTATGACCCAAGGGGGTGCCAGTGAACCCTTCGGGGGTGATAGTGTGCCTGGCCCAAGGTACTCAGTAACCCCCCGTCCCCCCCAGGGCCAGGCTTCAGGGACGGGGCCCGGGGCGGTGGCGTGGACGACCCGCACTGCCAATGTGGGTCACGACGGAGAACAGGAAGAAGTAAACAAAAGAGCCGCGACCTCGGTATCACAATTGTGGGAAAACTCCTCTAAAAGAAAGTCTTCCCATTCTCCGTCTATAGATTCCAGGTCATTTATCATTTCGCAACGCCGGCGGGGTTCCTGAACGCTTTATTTATTTTTTTGAGGTGGGTGGAATGCGGAACGGTGGTGGAATGGAGGTGTGTATCGACAGGAATTTTGACCGATATATATATATTTTTTTCAGTTTTGCTTTCTTTGGAGGTGTGTAACGTAGTCATTCCCGGGTCCAAATGAGAGACTTAGTTTTGTTCATTTATTATTCAGCACACGGGGTCCTCGTAGCCTGGTGCATAGCGCGCAGGATTCGTAATTCTGTGGCGCGGGTTCGATTCCCGCACGAGGCGGGAAACAAATGGGCAAAGTTTCTTTCACCCTGAATGCCCCTGTTACCTAGCAGTAAATAGGTACCTGGGAGTTAGTCAGCTGTCACGGGCTGCTTCCTGGGGTGTGTGTGGTGTGGAAAAAAAAAAAAAAAAAAAAGTAGTTAGTAAACAGTTGATTGACAGTTGAGAGGCGGGCCGAAAGAGCAAAGCTCAACCCCCGTAAAAACACAACTAGTAAACACAGGTCTGCTGTGAGTGGTAGTGGGAGAGGGAACTACACCACACCAATAAGAGACTAATAAAAGATTCACGACATTTGTTTAGGGAGTTGCGCTTGTTATGTGTACTTGTGTGTTTTCTATCCCAAAAGTTTTGTTTTTCAGTGTATGGAGTTGGCCACAACACCGAACTCATTCCACTTGCTCAGTGCGTCTCACTGAAGAGCTTCCTCACGTCGCTCTCTTTCATCTTAATAGCTCATTTCCGTCTGTGTTCTTACGTTGTATGGCTTCGTGTGCTGAAGAGTTTGTCTTTGTTCAGCTGGTGATTGTCTTGAGGTGTAATGTATGTCATACTCCTCTTTCTTCTGGCTCTAGTCTCGTCATAAAAAGGAAATTTTAGTTCCTTTTGTCTAACTTCATTCCCTTAACTTTCTGAGACATAGACTAGCCTTATGGCAAACTTGTAGACTTTTTCAAATTTTCTTTTGGACTTTATGAGGTGTTGGGCCCATGTTGGTGCTGCATATTATAAAACTTGTCTCATTTTGGTTAGTTCTCCAACTAGTGCTGCTTATTCTTGCGCTACTGTGGCTCGGTCATCATCACCACACCCGCCTGCCA